CATCCCGTGTTGTTTCACAAGGCAAGGGAATAGGTACAAGATCCAGGCATCTCTGAATCTCATGCAGCACAGCGTTTGTGTAGGGCATCTGGTTCTTATCCTGCATGCAGGGGCTCCGATGTCTGCCAATAACTTGTTCAATTTCTTCCTGAATTTTAGCTTCCAGGGCAGAAATCATAATTTTTATAAAATGGAAAAGAATTGTTTTTGTGTGATTCTTGATCATTTTATCTTGTGGTAGGAAGTAGAGAGTTGAGGAATCTAAATCCCCCTGTTTCCATAAGGGAAGAAAACCTAATGCATAGATGACATGGTTCTATATATGAGACATGAGTGAATCCACCATACAACTAATAGAGATTATAAACACATTCAGCAAAGTGGCATAATAGAAAGTTAATATATAAAATCCATATCTTTTCATAAAACAATAAAAAGCACACTGAGGAATAAATTAGGAAAATAAACACATTCACAGCAGCCTGACACAAAAAATAAAACATGCAATGGGGAAAAGAGGACACCTATTCACTACACAATGCTGTCAAAATGTACATCCATTTGCAGAAGAATGAATTATATTCATGTTTTTACTCTATGCAAAAATTAATTCAAACTAGATCAAAGACTTAAATTAAACCCTGAAATCATAAGACTTCAAAGAAATCATCAAAAATACACTTCAAGAAATAGGTGTTGGGGCTGGAGATATGACTCAGACATTAAGAGCACTGGTTGCTCTTCTAGATGTCCTGAGTTCAATTCCCAGCAACCACATGGTGGCTCACAACCATCTATCATGATATTGAGTGCCATCTTCTGGCATGCAAGCATACAGGAAGGCAGAACACTGTATACATCATACATACATATTTTATAAAAAGAAAGTGTAGGCAAGAACTTTATTAACAGAGCTTTGATAACAGGGTACTGGACCCAAGAATTAACAAGACTCTTAGGAGCACATGAAATAAAAAGTCTGTGCACAGCAAAAGAAACTAATAGCCAGCTATTTTTCAAGCAGGACACTAATATTCAGAAACTACAAAGAACTGTAAAAATTAAACACACAAAAAATTCTGCCAATCTGCAAGTGGGCAGATGAACACAGTTCTCATAAGAAGAAACACAACTAGCTCAAAAGTATTTTTAAGTATTCAACATCCCTAGTCAGCAGGAAAATGCAAATTAAAACTACCTTGAGATACCAGTCACCCCAGTCAGAGTGGCTATCCTTAAAGAATCTGACAGCAAATGATGCTGTGGATACAGGGAAAGGGACCTTTACACACTGCTGATGTGAGTGCAAATTAGCACAGACATTATGGAAATGATTAGGAGGTTCCTCTGTAAGTTGGAAATATATCTACCATATGACCTTACCATACTACTCCTGGACATATACCCAAGAACTCTATATGCTAACACATACACATTTATAGAGACCCAAGAACTCTATATGCTACCGCAGACACATTTATAGATCCTTGTTTATTGGTAGCAAAGAAATGGAGCTAACCTAGATGTTCATCAATAGATGAATGGATGATGACAATGTAATACATATAGAGAACAGAAGAGTTTCCAGCTATGAAGAAAAACTACAACATAAAATTGTTCAGTAAAAGGAATGGATAAGGAGAACATAACACTGAGGTGAACCAAACTCAGAGAGAACTGCATGTTCTTCCTCATAGATGGATCCTAATCTATTATGTTTGTATGTATTGTGTAAAGAATTGTAAGTGTGAAGACCAAACCAGGGTAGTATTAGGTGATAAAGAAGGATGAAACACAGGTAAAAAAGAACACATGGACATGAAGAAGAAAAAGGGTGTTGGATAAGGCTACAAGGCAGGGGAATAAAGGACTAAATAGGACTCCAGTGTCTCGTGAAATAAAGTCAGCAATTGATAAGCACATTGTGAAATTAAAAAGACCCTTTACAGCAAAGGAAATGGTCAATCAAGTGAAGAGGTGTCTGACAAGACACTAGAAAATCATTTTCAGCTGATCAGGATTGGTATCTACTATATACAGTGAACACAAAAATCTAAACACAAAACAAACAACCTAATCAAAATATGGGCTATAGTTCTGAAAAGAGTTCTTAAATAAATGAAGCATAAGAGGCTTGTAAAAATTTTTTAAGTAATCAACATCATTAACCATCAAGGAAATACAAATTAAAACTACTTTGAGATTCTATATCACACCAGTGAGAATGGCTATCATCAAGAAATCTAACACTAAATGTTGCTCATGGTGTGCTCAAAAACAACCATTATTTGTTGGTGGTGGTCCAGGAATTGTGGAAACTGATGTGGGGATTTATCACAAGGCTAAAAATAGGATTACTAATGACCCAGATATACCACTCTTGGATAGTTTCCCAAAGACTGTATATTTCACTACAGAGATACTTGCTTATATTTATTCATTGCTGCTCTATCCACAACAGCTAGGAAATGGAATCCAGCCTAGATGCCCATTAATTGATAAATCAATAAGATGTTACACATATATACAGTGGTATTTTATTCAGCTCTGGGTGAAATAAAAACTATAAAATTTGCAGGTAACTAGATGGGACTAGAAAATATTATACTGAATGAAAAAAATCCAGGCCCAGAAAGACGAATGTCATGTATACTCTCACAAACTAAAATGATTAGATTTAAGTCACTCTCCAAAGAAGAACATTGATGTCTGGTGCTGCAAAGCTGGTCAAATGTCTGTGGTTGAGAAAGTTACAGGCTTTTGAAGGAAAACTATTACTGTTGTTTTGCAAAATGAATATGATGTGCCCTTCAATTGCCTTGTAAAGATTCATGTTAATATCCATAGATCGGTGCTACTCCAAACTTTGGTCAGAGAACCTTCTTGATGTAATGGGTGGTAGTTATTTAAAAGACAAATCAGAGAAGATAAGAGACATTGGATTGCTAACTATAAATGGGACATCTACCTCACCCCCTCCAAACTCAGAAAGCATCTGAGAGGAGGAGAAAGAAAGAATGTAAGACAGGAGAAAAATGTATAGTGTGGAAAGCTGTTTATCAGTCATGAAATGGCCATTGCACCCTTGACCTGACAGGAGCTAGAATTTTCCACAAACAACTATACAAGACAAGTCTCATCAACCTTCCCTCATGGAGAGGGGAGGAATTCATGAAGCCTAAAAACTTCCTGAGGATCTGTAAGGGAGTTAATATTTCCTGAGATCTAGAGAGAGATTTTCTTGAGCAATGCAGCCACTGGTAAATTGTTGATAATTCAGTTAAAAAAAAAAGCCCTCACCAATGATCAGATAAATAAACCTAATTAAAATATTGCTTTATCAAAAATTAAAAAATGACATGAAATTAAAATGGGACAAGTTGAAAAGAAGAAGGGGTTTACTGGGAGGGATGGGGGAAAATAGAGAATGATGGGGATTTATTGAAAATAATTATATATGTATGAAAATGTAATGAAACATATCATTGACTATAATTAATATATGCTAACAAAGTTTAAATGATAAATACTTTCTGGAAAAGAAATAAGTATTTATTAAGACAAATGAAAAAATGTGAGAGGGAGGCTAATTCTATTTGGAAAACTGTTATGATTTTGTTATAACCCAAATCAAGGATTCCAACATATAGCAGGGAGAACAGTGGCCACTGCCCTTCCATTCTCTATTGTGGCTTATATATTTCATTCTTTCTTTACTGTGATCTGGTATGAATTGGATTCATCC